AAATTGTCAACAATTAATTAATTAAATTATGAAAATAAATCAAGGAAGTAATTTTCTAATTAACGATTTGTTGAAACATTTCATCGGTTTCTTTGCGTAGAACTCTTTAAGAAAGAAGGTGCGTGGTACAGGAAGGTAAGGTATAGCCTTACACATCTTGTAGAAAAACCTGTAAGAGCGACGTGCCGGTACAGGATTTCCCTGTAGAATACCTCAGATATGTGTAATGTATGATGAACGATGTTAGCCCCCGAGGGAGTAGATCTGATCAGACCGATGTCGGTCTGTACAGGTCAAGTGTCCATCTGTAGTGGTCAAGGTGAATTAGGACGTTATCATGTAATTGCTACAGGTGCGCTAATTTTAGTACACCTTACGCAAGATTGGACACAAACATACTAGATACTAGAATTATCTCCCCTTGTAGCTATAAACATTGATCGGTGTATATGTGGGTGTGTGATGTTTATGGCTTGGCGTGTGTACGTCCATACTATTTAGGATTACGTATAAGAGAGTGTTGTATAAGGTCCCAGATATTACCTCTCCTGACAGAACCGGTAAACAATCACGTTCTGCAAAGTTGCAACGACTCATGTGTGGCAAGCGTTTGACCCCAGAAGCCCCATTTTCCTTGTTTCGAAACCTACCTTGATATGTTTGAAACAAACTTCAGTTATGTCTCTGGTTTATCCTCTAGATCAACTAGGTTTTGAGCTTAACTGATCCTTGAAATCATGTTTCGACGTTTAACTAGAATTAAGGTTTTTTTTCGAATCCTATACCACAACAAGTGTAACAATACTGGAAATATAATATTGTTTATAAACTAAGTTAATGATCATATCCACGAAATTTACAAACAGTTGACTATACAGAGTGTAGTGTACATTTGTGTTTTATTTTGACTTGTAGCAGAGACTTCAGAGAAGCAAGGGGATGTATACAAACTAGTAACCAGAGTAATTGCGTTCTGATGATAGTAAGGTGTTATTATATCAGTGTTTATGATGATAGTAAGGTGTTATTATATCAATGTTTCTGATGATAGTTAGGTGTTATTATATCAATGTTTATGATGACAGTAAGGTGTTATTATATCAATGTTTCTGATGATAGTAAGGTGTTATTTTATCAATGTTTATGATGATAGTAAGGTGTTATTATATCGATGTTTCTGATGATAGTTAGGTGTTATTATATCAATGTTTATGCTGACAGTAAGGTGTTATTATATCAATGTTTATAGTGCTAGTAAGGTGTTATTATATCAATGTTTCTGATGATAGAAAGGTGTTATTATATCAATGTTTATTATGCTAGTAAGGTGTTATTATATCAATGTTACTGATGATAGTAAGGTGTTATTATATCATCAGAAACATTGATATAATAACCCCTTACTATCATCAGAAACATTGATAGTAAGGTGTTATTATATCAATGTTTATGATGATAGTAAGGTGTTATTATATCCATGTTTCTGATGCTAGTAAGGTGTTATTATATCAATGTTTATGATGCTAGTAAGGTGTTATTATATCAATGTTTATAATGCTAGTAAGGTGTTATTATATCAATGTTTCTGATGATAGTAAGGTGTTATTATATCAATGTTTCTGATGATAGTAAGGTGTTATTTTATCAATGTTTCTGATGATAGTAAGATGTTATTATATCAATGTTTCTGATGCTAGTAAGGTGTTATTATATCAATGTTTCTGATGATAGTTAGGTGTTATTATATCAATGTTTTTGATGATAGTAAGGTGTTATGTTATCAATGTTTCTGATGACAGTAAGGTGTTATTATATCGATGTTTCTGATGATAGTAACGTGTTATTATATCAATGTTGCTGATGCTAGTAAGGTGTTATTATATCGATGTTTCTGATGATAGTAAGGTGTTATTATATCAATGTTTATGATGATAGTAAGGTGTTATTTTATCAATGTTTATGATGATAGTAAGGTGTTATTATATCAATGTTTCTGATGATAGTAAGATGTTATTATATCAATGTTTCTGATGATAGTAAGGTGTTATTTTATCAATGTTTATGATGATAGTAAGGTGTTAGTATATCAATGTTTCTGACGATAGTAAGGTGTTATTATATCAATGTTTCTGATGATAGTTAGGTGTTATTATATCATCAGAAACATTGATATAATAACACCTTACTATTATATCAATGTTTCTGATGATAGTAAGGTGTTATTATATCAATGTTTCTGATGATAGTGTAAGGTGTTATTATATCAATGTTGCTGATGATAGTAAGGTGTTATTATATCAATGTTTCTGATGATAGTAAGGTGTCAGTATATCCATGTTTCTGATGATAGTAAGGTGTTATTATATCAATGTTTTTATGATGGTAATCTTATCCGATAAAAATTAAACTAATATCATTTTGATTTCATATACCGTTAGGCATACGAAGAGGTATGAGGAGGCCCGAGCGTCCCAGTCTGTTCATATTCTGTTTCTGGAAAATTTCCCTCAAAACCGAGATCGAATTTTATCAAGTGATGTCCACGTTCGTTTATCAAGCCAATAATTATTCCGTTGTTGCACTCTTTAGCCTGCGCTTTACAGGACAGAGACAAACTGTCCAATAATCAGCTCTCTCGATTTCTAGCCAATTTTGTTGGTAATAATGGTGGCGGGAAACTCTGGATAAAACTGTTCCTAAATTGTATTCGTCCCGAATTTATAGATGTGTTTATTATCATTATTTTGTCCAAAGGTTCCAGGTTCCGCTTTCAAAGCACGTCCTCTGCGAGGACGGACCCCTTTGCTTGTGAAGATGAACATTTGGTAAGATTCGGTTGTTTAACCAAATGTCTGGTTTTAATACCCTGAGTGTCATTTATATCAGAGACGTACATGGACTCGGTGTATAACGACCTGCTGTGTAGTGTTCTCAATTTATTGATAGTAACGATATTTAAGTCCGGGAAAATTCCTAAGATAACAAAATTGATATATTTTTCTGCTATGTTTTCCGACAAAACATCACCTGTACAAAGTCAAAGGTATAATCTTCTAAATCATGCGTTGCGTATACGTATATATCGCCTAAATGAAAAACCAATGACATTTAAAGGTTTCTGCCTCTGAGGTACTGATTTCATTCAGTTGTGACAGTAGTAGTACCCACGTGGTAATGTGTGGGTGTGACTCTAACGGTCTGGTGTTGTTTACAATGGTCAAACTTTTATTTACACATCGATAGTAATGTCCACATACCGATCTCTGGTCGACGTCCACCCGAAGGCTGGCGTTCCTCTGTTAGGTCTCGACATACATGTGTTTTATGGCAGCATTATAAGCCTGCCGGCTATGAAACAACAAGCCAATTCAGCTTGACTTGGGGAAAAAGGGAATTAGGTTCTTTTCATACTTGTTTATAAAAATATGATTATGAAAATATTTGTTTTCTTCTAGCATTGTTTTCAAAACAGTTACCGAGGAATGCGCATTCCGGTTTTGTTTTCGGAAACTATACAATGGACAGAAATGACATTATTGAGCTATTAAGCACCACAAAAACAGGATTTGATATTATTAACGCCGGCATTTGAGTTATATTTTATAATCCGCGAAACAGAAATACCGGGCCCCGTATATAAGTACTCACCAAACTTACAATGACATTCCTAATTAAGCGTTAGGGGTTCCCCGAGGGGGTTTGTATTTCCTTGTCATTTAATTGGATACAAAGTTTGACACCATTAGCTTTATTTGTCTCCGAGTTAAGTATGTAAATGATGGCTATATGTTTGGTTTATGACGTAATTCAAATGTGACAGTTTTATGACGCAATATGTAAAGATTACGGCTTAACATGTAGTAAATCAAATTATGTTATTAGCGGATGTGAAATTAATGCTTGGTTATTAAAGAAATGTTAATTTGTTATGTATATTTTAAAGCACAATGTTAACGAATAAAAACCATTAGAATAGATATCTGAGTCCGCGGTATATTCAAATGAATCAAGTAAAATCCATATCATATGTTAATAACTAGACGCATTATAACAGATAAAACCAGAGACGCATTGCCTGTTACGGAATCGGAACATGCCGTATTACAATTAAATTGATTTATTCAACCACGGAATTAGAGTATTCTATCTAGGTCCGTGCTTCAACCATTTATTAATCTGAAAATATATGCTTATATCATAAATAACATATATATTTATATATATATACAGTCATACTTGCCAGTTATTTTAGCGAATTCTATTAACAGAGACATATTCAAATAGATATATTTGTACCCTATCTTACCGCACATTAAACTGGGGCAAAATAATTTAGCAGGTTAAACTGTGTGCAGAGAGTTTCTGATGGTAATGAGTTAAATCAATATACATTGTCATTGTGGAAATTCTTTCGCCTGTTTAGACATAAATTCCGGATCCTACATGTCCATCTGCTATATGTGTTTTCTTTATAATATTTCACAATGATTTGGTGAAATAGATGATAAAATAAGTAAAAGTAGATTTTAAAATAGAAACAATATGGTCAAAATACAAATATTAAATTAGATAATTAATGAATGGAAATAATTTGAGAAGAAAATGAAGATATTTTTTATAAGACTGTAAAGACCTATTCATAATATTGACTTTTGCGAGTCTAGAACATTGCTAACCCCCGAAACCATGAAGGTCCTTTACCGTTATTTGCCGAAACGTGAAATACTTTATTTGAGCGAAAGCCGACAGATTTACTGAGAGCATAAGCAATGATCCCGTTACAGAACAGGTAACATTCTTATCTGTCACGGACTGCTGGACACATTTCACTCAAGGATAAAATCCCCCCTCTTGGGCCTCTTTGTAAACGCATACACTTCATTACTCCATTTTATGGTGTTCACGGTCCAATGGAGACCAATGAAAATGTCGTTTCGCGGGTCGATGTGGAGACCACGCCCCCTCGAGTTGAGAGTCAATGTAGCGTTGTGATACCGCAAGACAGTCGCTTTAACGTGTTAGTAAGTTTTCCGTACAGGTTTGTCAGTTCAAGGGATTTTAAAACACAATATTACACTTTCCCAGGAGGAGACATTTAAACGTTTTCAATAAATAGAATTTATTGGGAATTTGTTTTTCACGTTCGGATGTTTCACCTTTGGATGTGCCGCGTATACCTGTGTATATGAGATATATACACTTATCACCTGTATACACATATACCTGTATGTTTACCTTTCTTGCTTCGTGACCTGGAAAACACAGTCATGCAGAGAGGAAAATTGTGCTCCTTTACTCGTGGACGAGAGACTCGATTTGTGTAGTAGTGTCACGATAGACCGAGAGAGGGACAGTCCCTAGAAAACGCTTGTGTTGTGTGTACAAAAAATCAACAAGGAAATTTGGTACAGAATTAATCACAAATAAGGATTGTTATTATTGAAATCGGTTATTCTGTGACTTTGATGTCGGCATATTGCTAGAATGACCGTTCACGGACAGCGGTCAAGTTCTTCGGACGCGCATATGCCATCAGCATTTCAGACGAGCAGCCCTCCCAATGGATTTGATGTTAGCCCTGTGGTTTACCCTACTGCCAAGATGAATCGCTCCTGGAATGGACTTGTGTTTCAGGTGTCGCCTCTGCCGAACGGTAGAGTTCCAAATGGATATATATCTGATGGGGAAACTCATAAACGGGATATACCAAGAAGTATTTCCGACCCGTCAGAAAATGGCCGGAAATATCCCATGTTGGAAAATTCAAGGTATTACTCAACTTTGAGCCGAGCACCGCTTACTAATGGGTATCGTGTATCTGATGGAAATCGCAGAGAACTTCCAAGAAGTATATCTTACCAGGAAAATTATCATGGAAATATTCCGGTGCCGGATCTTTCCCGGAACTCCCCAAGTTTGAGTAATTCTTATTCCTCAGGTCAGTATCATTCCCAGTGCGGACTGAATGAGTCCGGAAGCCTCAACTCGTCAAAGTATCTGGAAAGTGAGGAAGAGCCGGAGTATGTTACATTGGACAACAGCTATGTGTTCCCGGCAAGATCGCCACAAAGTCCCTCAACATCCCCTTCCAAGTTCAATCTCAATTTCCGGAGAAATCACCTGAACGGGTCCGTTCGTTCGGAAAACATTCGGATTATAAACAACCACGTAGCAGCAGAGCGAGACCGAATTGTTGGAATTCAATTAAAAGAAAAACAAAAAGCTCGTAACAGTTTGAAGAGAATCGCTGAAAACATCGGTGCAGCTTTGACGCCAAGAGGAGGGTCAAAGCTTGTGAAAGATGAAGATGCTGGGTTGGGGATGGGTAGGGCGCGGAGTAAATCTGTGGGAGACCTTAGGGATTACAAACATCAAAATGATGATGATCTGGGTGAATACTCTTGTTGCTATAGTGACGATGATGATGGTGACGACTTTGGATTTCTTAGTTATCCTTTTGCTTCCTCCTCTCTTTCTCTAGCTATGAGCAAAAGCAAATCGCATTCCCAAACGCACGCGATTCTACCCAAGAAATGGCGGAGTAAAACGAGACCACTCCCGGGGGTAGCGACGTGTATGTGGAGCCCACAGGTTAGTAAATATTTCATTAAATCTTTTTTTTTTTAAATTTACATGTTAATTAAATTATCGTGCCACTTCATTATGCTGTCTGGCACAATGACGTCTTTCAGCGCAATTGTTAAAACCTGTTTAGCTTAATGAGAAAATGACATTCACATTTCATTCTGGACTTTTTTCCTAAAACATAATGTATGGATTAAAAGGTTTGGCTCCAAAACACCAAATATATAAATTTTGAAATAACTTCTAAAAAATAAGATTATGTATGAAAAATACATACATTTATAAATATATTTCGACTTCTCCTTAAGCTAAAATCTGAGGCCGGAAGAGAATCGCAACATTATACAAATATATGCACGAGTTGATATAAGATGTCACAAGAAAAATTTCGGTGAGTGACAGCATAACATATATGCACTGTCGTCTCGTGTGCATATTGTAAGACGGACATGTGCAAATTAATGATAATTGTTGCTTCTGTTTGTGACACACCTAGACTTTGTTCTGGGTTTAATTCCATTTCCTTGATGGTTTTGCGGGTTTGACAAACAAGTAAGACGCACATGTATTATCTATATACAAATACATTTCTCTTAAACGGAGTGTATGCCTTTTGGGTGTACCTTTGTTTCTCCCATATTCGCAACTTCGATGATATTAGAAGTACATTTTACTTTCACATAAAGTACAACATTAAGGAAAGCCGGGGATCTCGTGAGCGCGAGGGACTTTGTAAAAGGATAGGTAGATTTGTATCGACCGTATCCCTGGGGCTGACAGTATTAATTACCTGTACCGACCCCTCGTCCGGGCTATTTCAATTCTATACAGGTGTATCAGTGTCACACCTGTGTGTAAGTAAACATATAAGTATGTCGTTTTAAAAATAGATCTAGGTCAGAAAGCAGTTATGCAAAACCATTAAACTAATTCACATATGTCGAATGTCAATCCCCAAAAACAGCGTTGAGTTTGACTCAAAATGAAATTAAACAAAGCTCGTATATATCATCTCGAGCCGACCTAATATTTCAGTGATATAAGGAGTTTATAATGGTCTGTACTCATAAAATAACAAAGTGTTGCTGTAACCGATAATTTCGGTTTAGTTTTGACGACCGACACGTACAACTAGATATAGGACAGTGACATCACCGATACAGTATCAACTATAGATAAAGATTTATGATAGAGACCGATTTCACCTGATATGAAATTATTTAGATACGACCTCGGAGATAAAACACTTCCCAGGTGAAAGGTAACACCACCTCCTCTCCCTCTCTCTCTCTCTCTCCCTCTCTCTCTCTCTCTGTGCCCCCCCCCCCCTCCTTTCTCACTTTCTCCCCCTCCCATTATACCTGTAAAATATGATGTCTCTGTCTTGAATACGAGATTTATGACCATATCTAACCCACACAGACATCGTTCTTTAGAAAACAAGCGAATATACTGTTCACATATAAAAGAATTTCAAGTCGCTATTTAATTTCACAAGATTTGAACCTTGGAGAAAACACCATCAATACAAAAAAATACCTCAATGAAGACACCCCCTTAAAACAAAAGCTGTGTGTGCTCGGGAGAAATGTTATACCAGATGCACGCGAAGAATATCCCGTCTTCTGACATCGATACTTGTAAAATCATAGCCCGAACAGAATCTGTTTCCGGATAAACTCTATCGGTTGATTAATGGCGGGATAAACTGCGTATTATTTATGGTGGCTGCAACAGCTTTTGTGACATATGCTATTAACAGGACCTAGTTCACGAGTCGTGTGCATTTCATGTACCAGAGATTAAGATCGTCAAGTTTTAGATCAGACGACGACCGACTGATTATAACCTACCGCCTGTCTGTAGAAGCAACAACACCCAACCAAATATCGGGACTATTGTAATAGGTATTTAATTCTGTAAGAATGCACCTATTAGCATGTAAGATATATAGTTTTTATCAGAAAACTTTCAGATCAATAGGTTTAGAGATCTGATTATCTACCGGTACCTATTAATCAACACAGGAGGCCATCTTCCTAAGCCACATGTCTCTCAGACCTTTTTTTGGCGAGGGGCTTGGAATTTAAAAGATTACCAATGAGTAATACTACGTTACTATACGGTAAACTTGATAACGCGTTATGTAAGAGTTCACCTGAAGAAACAGTGTCAGGTTTGGAATTTTCTTTGACTTAGTTTATCAGTCGGAATCTATTCACCGGCCATTGAATCGCTTATTAATACTGATAACCGCTCGCTAAAGTAGAATGTCTATATGTAGCGGTTTTCATTTGATTTCCCCGTATCTGCCATTTTTATCGCCGTACAAACAGATTTATCAGAACCTGTTTACAGATACACAGAAAGTATTGACTTCTTATCGACCTGATATCCACCCGAGGAGACTGCTCCGCCTTCACGTGGGATGACGTCACATCCTGCCAGACTGTCATGATATAACGTTACAGTACGGCGCCCAAAGACATGTCGCGCGAGACTCCACATTGCCCTACAATCTATACATTACCCTGATATGTCCCGATACACTCGCCACATGGACAATACCGTCCACCCAAAAAGGAAGCCATTTACTGATACATTATATATATAATCAACGACCACAAACACCAAGGGCGACCACTCCAAACGGGGAAGGGGATCGTGGGAACATTCTCTGCTGAAATAAACGCAGTTTGAGCGTAAGTTTGACTAGACCACCCTTCCAAATACTGACCCAGAGTCCCGTGGAAATGCTATTAAAGCTATATGCATGCCGACGAGTATAAGATTCGCTTTCTCCTACAATCTATGGGCACGAACTCCGACAAATTAACCATATTTACACATTTAAACCACATAAATATCATCATACCACACAGGACAAAAAGCAACTGTCCATGACGACATTTATCGAGATAAATAGGTTAAGGGGTTAAGGGTCAGAGTTCCCGGAGTACCTTGTTTACATAGTGTATGGTATCTCCAGGTTTCTTCTGACATCTAGAGCAATTGGAACGTCTTACAATGATACATTTCTTTTCAAAGTGATTAATGTGCGTGCTGAGAATTTTTATCAAACACAACCTGACAGTTTGACAATAAGACGCCATTTCCTTTGATACGAACTGTTTAAACATATGTACGTGTATTGAGGCCGTTACGGTATCCAATGTCCCAATATGTCGACTATTTTATTAATTTCTGTTACAGAGCAAAAATGTGTTGTACCAAGTATTTTTGTGTTTTGGTGTTGTGGTTTGATGGCGACAATACGTACGGGACGAAACGTCTTTATAATCTTTTTATCTTCACTTGTTTCGATACAGTTCCCTTCCCATGAAAACCAGATGATATGTTGATCGCTAAGTATATAAACTAAAACTATTTCTGTAAATCGAGAGGTTTTACCTACAGCGAAGAATTTGGCCTTCCCGACAACCGCGAACAAATTGTTTACAATACAGTAAGTCGTACGTACAAATCATGTGCACGCCGTTCCCAATGTATGTTAAGTTCTCAGGCAGTGTATTTGATCCTTCCACTAGTCACCCACCTGTAAATTACCTGTAATTACCTGTTAATTAGCCTGACTTTTAGTTATCAGTCCGTGGGTTTCAGGATAAGGTTACCAGAATGTGGCATGTTTGCAAGGGGCCGTGACCTGGCCGAAAGGTTACCAGCCTGAGTGACTAATTTCACATGGAAACTAAAAATTCCACACATTTTTGTCAAAACCTTATCTATACCAAAGAAGATCGTATTTCTCACACCTGGACATTTGAATACCTGTATGATTCACATGCGCTCCTGTCTGGGATCAAAAAGGGGTTATAACGCATCCTTAATACTAATCTGCAGATCCTGCCGGGGACCAGCAATAGGAGGGGATTACTTATACACAAAACAATGCTATATTGTTCTGTACGTTTTTGTAATTGATTTTCCAACCTGTTTGAAATTCCTCAATTGTCCTGGATATATACGCTCCGAGTGACAATTGTCCCTCATGTGTTCTGCAAGAACAAAAGACATTAAAGGTGACTGCTGTCGCCAAATCGTGACAGACAACACCAAAACTCCTTCTGGATATAAAACAGTTGATCCCAGGGTGTTTAAACTGACGACTCCGAGTGGACAAGGAGCTGACAATGTCACTGTTTCATCGGGGGTTATTTTATTTGTTCAACGTCTTCTTTTATCTGGTGTTGACATAATTACAAGTACAATGGAGGATTGGGAGGGGAGAGGTTACCGGTGTCTATATGTTTTCCCTCTCCCTAAATAACGGACCGTGACACTACATGGCGTGTCCATATACACTGTACCCCGTTAATAGCACCTGCTGAGTATTAGTTCTCATCAACGGTCCCATAGCCGCCAGCGCCAATGAATGACAAGCATCATTAAATGTATATTGACATTTTTATTAAAAAAATATTTTTTTTCCCAATTCAATCAGATTTTAATAATAGATTGACGATTTTAACTTGTCATTTCATGTTTTAAATGTCGCGTTTAAAATTTAAAAACCTTCATTTTAATATAATGAGTTAACCTAGAAGCAATTCATAATGTTAGTGTATTAGCAATTTCATATTAATGTCACGTGTCTCACTTTGATGGCTGCCTTTTAATCTAGTAAATTTCGTTATGAATATGTGTGATTTAAAACGAAAATATTATCTAGATTTGCAAGCAAACTATAGCATTGGAATTTTTCAGCGTCATATTTTTCAAGAATAATCAATATTACATTGGATGTACATGTATATCGAAACCCCTGATATGAACCCCTCCCCATTATCCCCCTTCCCCCTACCTCATCCCCCGGGATTAATTGATCTCCCGCCCTTCTCACACTGTTTAAGACCTGCCGTGATGTATTTGTATATTTAAGTCTTAAGTTGCATTTCAAGGATTTGTTACTTGTATTTGTTTACCTGTTTGTTTGTCAGACAACATCCCGGACAGTCAGGTATGTCAGAACGTGACAACCTTTATCT